GGTCAGTAAGCTGTGGCTAGGCTGAGGATAGTTGTCACTTTGTTTTTTACCTTGCAGTATGCCATTGGTTCTGATCTAACCTGTTGCTGCAATTGTGAAGTTAAAGATCACCTATCCGCATGCAAGCGGTGAGCTCTGTGAAGAGAATGCTTTCTTCCAGCATAAACCCAGCTAAACGTGATAAAATCTCTCGTAGACATCCTGTTGAATACACAGATACAAAGCAGCGGGAGGGGATTCAGCTAGCCAACTGCCACGGCCCAACCTATCGTCCCTACATTGAACATTGAACTCCTGGAAGTTGCCATGAGTTCAATGTAAAGCCATCCCACATTTCAGTAATGAGGTCAAGTTCTCAGCAAATCTGGATCAGCTCTTTTGTACCCCCGGTTTTAGAGATGTGGGTAAGGAGGAAAAGAGAGAGGTTGTATTTTCGGACACTTTGTGAGTCTCCTTACACACCGGGGTCACATATTTATGTATAAAAGACATCAAAAAGTGCAATTTGCATAATAGGTGTCCTTTAAGTCAACTGTGGAGAGACAATACATCAATAAATGTTTGCTTTTGTTAGCAAAGGGCCAACTCTCACGCATCTGGCGTGTGACACACGCTTTCACTGTCAATCTCACGCTCTCACGCTGCCCAAACTATTCTCACGCCAAAAACAAGATGAACCTGCGATCGTTTTTGGTTGATTATTTACAATGTTGAGTTGACAGCTACTCAAGCTGTCGATCTTCTCCCTCCCCGCCCCCCACCACTCTTAACAACGTTAACAGACAGCAGAGCAGTGGGAGCCGGTTGGTCAATCCCTGACCCGTATTGCGCATGCGCAGATCTAAGATCCAGTAGAAATTATAAAAAATAAAAGTCTGGTGCTTATTGTTCTACTAGGCCAAAATAGAGTCAAGGAGTGTATCAGAGTGAGAGTGTGTTAATTAATATATTTGGCAGTTTGGAGTAAGTCTGTAGGTTTGTTTGTGTGTGTGTGTGTTTCACGTATAGGCCTCTCACGATAATTAATTTTGTTAGATACATTTTCCCGGAAATTATTGCGATAAACGATAATATTGTTCGGCACCGTTATATGACCATTTTAGACCACTGACATAATGATAATATATAATAATAATTCAAGTACATCCTTTCAAACTGCTAGTCACATCCTCATGTAAATGGCAATTTGTCGAGTTCATTTTTATTTATCGTACGATAAGTCAATTCATTGCTCATTGCGACAGGCACACAATAAAACAGTGGAAACAAACATGTGTTTGACTTTCATTAGTGAATGAAACTTTGTGCCCTTTATAGTCTGTGTCCAATATTGTGTATTTGTATATATTGTATATATATATCCTATATATATGCTAAGGTCCCGCTGCTGACACGATAGCAGTCATTTCGTGCGCATATGTGTAATTAAACCCATGATATCAAAATCTCACTCCAGCCAGGTACCCAAAGTTGGCAACCCTGTGTTAGCAGTGCTGGCGAACAGGAAGACTTTTAGGGTTCTGCTCATGTGCTGAACCCTATTAACATTAACATTATTAACATTAAGGAAGACGGTCCAGTGATAAGACAGCCAAGCAATGCGATTGTAGGCCACCACAGGCCACCGCAGGCCACTCCCGCACTTAAATACTTTCAACAAAAACATTTCTTAACATAATGAGTAGATGAGACATGCAGAAGATAAAGGAAGTGAACCTAAAAGTCTCTTACACCTCCCTTCTAGATTTTCAGGTGACGGTGTTGGTGATCTACATCATCATCCTTCTGGCTGTCTATTTGGCACCACTCGCATTCAGCTGCCCCTGCATTATGGACCGGCACACACTCCGACCCCGGCCAGACATCATTGGTCGACGGGGAGCTCCTATGGTGAGTTCATTGTTCTGTGTGAACGTGTCACCGTCAGATGTTGTTTACTTGATCTTCTGATGGATCAGTTGCTTTATATGTATTCTACTGAATATTGTTCTATTTCCTTTCATTTTGAAACAATATCATAGGGTAATTTCCATAGAGTCTTGCAAGAATGAGTCCTAAACCTGGAAAAGGAGTTAGTATTTTGGCACTTTTAGGCTGCCTAAAGTCACTGGTTTTTGGAAAGTGTGTTTTTGGTTAGATTTCCAAAATAAGGTATGTGTTGAACACAAGCTTAGGTTAATACCTTCTGTTTTACGACATAAAATTAAAACTTAACGCCCCGCTTGTGAATGTTCGAAGATTTTACACGTCTATGTTAGACAGGTAAACACCATCAAGCAAAAAATTAGCCACTTTTAGCTTAGTGGTGGTAGTGTAAGGTAATGCGCCCGCCATGTAGTTGGTAAAGCATAATGTTAACTTTCACTTCTGCTCATTGCATTTGGGCTACACTTCAACAATTCTAAAAGTGGGGTTTATATTTTGAGACAAAAATGTGCAATTACCATAAACATGTGTTTGTCACGGATCTTGTGGCCCTTGCAATGCTAATTTCTGGATTGGCCTACAAAAATACATCATCAATGCAGCATTCTGTTGGATACTTTGATCAGTCACTGTTACTCTGCAAAGGCAAAATATTAGTTATTTTTTCATTATCATAGGATTAGTCAAGTTAAATAAGCAACAAACTAACAAAAATGTTGGCTCGTCAAAAAAACAATAGGGAAGTACCGGTAAATTTAGTTTTAGCATGGCTAGCCATGGCCATCTTACCAGCTAGCTTTCATTACTCTAGTTGGCTTCTTGGCTGTTTGTCTTAGTTTCATTCTCTCTCTGTATTCTCTTCTTGATGTTTATAGAGAATTTCAATCAACATATAGTACTTGATTTGTGGTGTGTAAATATGCATGATGCAACTAGTTACTGTGCCTTTTAGGCTTTACTTTAATGATATGCCGCAAAGTTTTGTTTCTTAAAAAAATCATGCTTGGATTTTTAAATGTGCCTTTATATCCCGTCCTCTTGATGTGTTTTCAACCCCCAGTGACTAACAATAGTCCCCCCCCCTTTGCTCTAGCTGGCCCCAGAAAACACCATCGTGTCCTTTAACCGAGCTCTGCAGAATGGAGCCAGCTCCCTGGAGGCAGACGTCACTATCAGGTTATTAATCACTTTAACATTTTAATCATGGATTATTTAATTTCATGAATTTAGAGTGCTCTGAAGTTCCACAGTTGAGAAATAGAAGCATTTAGATTTAATGAGAGAGATGCTATATATAGTCACATTTTGCCTTTTGTCTTGAATGTTTCAATGGGCTGCTGTTTTTATTGTTAGGAAAAGGTTTCATTTTACTAAGATAAATACTTAAACATAATTTGTTTTCTAAAATACATAATTTCTGACAATTTTTTCATTCCAGTGTAGACGGTGTTCCTTTCCTGATGCGGGACCGCACGTTGAGACGAACCACAGACGTTGGGAAGGTGTTCCCAGCCCGGCAGTTTGAGGATGCTTCTCTCTTCAACTGGACAGAGATTCACTCTCTAAACGCAGGCCAGTGGTTTCTGAAGGTACTGGAATCCACTTCGCCTCAACTCATATTATTGTGTTTGATTTGTTTGGGCAAATTCTCATCAATAACCCAACATTACTCCCATATTCTGTTGCTACAAATAACTTCCTTTTTGTATTGTGAAATTGTAGTTGGTGGTCAAAGGAATTGACCATGTAGTAAAACTTACAACATGTTTGAGGTGTTATATAAATAAATACTTTTTTGTCACTTTCTTTGATTTGAAGTTATCCAACAAATGGCATTAGAACGTTCTGGTTTAGAAGACAGACAGGAAGATACAAAGACAACAAGTCTAAATCTAGTCTAAAATCTTAAGATAAACCAAGCATGTTTCAAATATTGTATATGCTAATTGTCTACCGAAGAAAATAGTGTACGTTCTATCTCTGTGTCTGACTCTCTTCTGACCTCTGCTCCTAGAGCGACCCCTATTGGACCGTAGAGACCCTGACTGCCAGGGACCGCCTCAGGATAGGCAACCAGACGGTCTGCAGTCTGGTGGACATGCTGCGTCTGGCAGCCAGGGCCAACGGCTCCGCTCTGCTCGACATCCGCCGGCCTCCACCGGAGCATCCGCGCCACCGCAGCTGGTTCATGGACACGCTGTGGGCCGTGCAGAAAGCTGGGATTTCCCCCAAGAGGGTGAGGATTGTAGGTCCCTCCATAATATCCTTTCATTACTAAAAGGTGCTGCTTGTAGGAACCCCAGTGAACCATGCTGAAGTAAACAGCTGTCACACTGAAAAACTGAAATGATGACTTTAATTAAAGGTTTCATGTCAACAGATTTCACATTACTGTATTAGGTTAGTTGAAAGCAATAATATTATATCAAATATATTATTATTGCTATGATATATATGATTGCTTTTTTCCACAAAGCAAACCACATTTACTCTTCCTTTTAGTTGAAATCAGTTGCAGAGTGCTTTCAGGACTGAAAGAAATAAATATATTTTCCAATGAAGTGGGACTAGGGTTAGGTTGGAAATCCAAAATAAATATATTTTCCAACTTAGTGACCATCAAAAAGAAATGGGTGGTAAGATGTAATAAAGTTATTCCTGTATATCAAATTATATTTAAAACATATTCCACAAGCAGCGCCTTTTTCTATAAAAGTGTAACATTTCTAGATATGTAGCAGTGCAATCTTCCTGACCAGGGTCTGTCCATGTCATATGTGTGTGTGCCAGGTGACGTGGACCCCCGACACGGACAGGGGGAGGGTGCGAGGGCTGCCGCAGAGCGCCAATGAGAAGCTGTCACTGGAAGAGATACGGCAGAGGGGGATAACAAGCCTCACCCTGCACTACAGCAAGGCCAGCCACACAGACATACAGTGAGCATCCACTGCTGGAGACAACCATTGTATTGATTATATTTTATTTTTGTCTTCCATGTTCCCTTGCAACTGCATACTAAACATGGGAACTAAATCAAGAGAAGTCTCCCACTAAGCATTGGAAATGTAATATTAAAGAGAATGCTTTTAGACATGAATCTGTTTTCTCGTGTTGAAGAGTACTGCAGAAGTGAAGCCTTTAGTGTCTCCAGAGGAACGTGATAAATGTCCTCAAGTGATTCACTTGAGTCAGCATTAAATGTTTGTAACTACCCACTTAAAGAAAACTCTGGGGTTGTTTCTGATGCAGCAAACAACCCCACAACTTATCACCAGATTTTCATTTATATGATGTTGGTGATTGTTGTATGGAAATATGCAACATCATCTAAGTTTATTGAACAAAATTAACTTTTTTATTGCCTTTTATATATATATCGTTATATGCATAACCATCATACTAAATGTCAACAGTGTAATCCACTTTCTTGATTTCAGGAACAAAAAACGTTATAGCATATTTAGGTGAAATACTGTAGGTTGTACTGTATGTGTCACAGTGTCACAATGCATAGGTGTCTGATAAACCAAACCAGAATCAGGTTCATGCCAAGTACATTTACACATGTAAAATAATTTGTGAAAAAGAAAATGTGTGAAAGAGAAGCAAATATGAAACTATTACAGGTAAAACGAAAATAAATGTTTACAAGAAATATAAATATACAACAAATATAATAAAAAGTAAGTACAACAATAATAGTAGTTACTCTGAAAATTAAAATATAAGTAGTATATCGAAATTTAAAGGGGTACATTTTTTAATTCATAGCATTGTATGCATGCAGAGGAGTTTAGGGTTCACAGTGATTTGAATGAGGAAGGGCTCACATGGTGTCTGTTGGAGGATATAAGAATCTGTGTCAATGGGCCATTGTTGAGTGACAACATCTAAAGTGACAATATTCTTTAACCTGAAGTTAAACAAGAGTGAAAACGAGAGGATTATTTTCCTCATTTTTATTTGCCTTTCCGCAGGGAGTATCTGGCCCATAATGTGAGTGTGACTGTGTCCGCAGTCAACGCGCCCTGGCTCTACTCCGTCCTCTGGTGCAGCGGGGTGTCTTCTGTGTCCTCTGATGCCCCACAAGTCCTCCGAAAGGTGCCTTACCCCATCTGGCTCATGGTAAACAGCTCTGCTCTCTGTCTCTCATCTGACATCACACACACACACACGGTCACACACGGTCACACACGGTCACACAGCGAGACGAGAGGACAGCAGGAGAGAGGACAGAGACTGACGAGGGCCCAGCGAGACCCGAGGCGAGGGCGCAGAGATATGAGGGCTCAGCGTGGCGTTGGAGAACAACAGGACCCTGGGAAAGAGACAATCAGAGACAGAGTACAGCTGCACAGTCGCTCTGTGCTGAATAGACTTTGTGTTCTGTAAGCTTCAGGAGAAATGCATGATGATGCTGACCTCCAGTGGCGCTGACTGAAAACTGCTCTTCTTTTTTCTTCTCTTGCAGAGTCGGAGCGCTTACCGCTTCATCTGGCTCACGTCAGATCTGGTGTCCATCGCCTTAGTCATAGGGATTTTCTGTTTTCAGAAGTAAGTAGTTGTTCTGTGATCATGTTGAGTGGAAGAGATGTAAACTGACAACACACACACAAATGTTATCAGGAGCAGCACAGATACATGTAGAGTGACTGTACTGTGAACACCATCCTCTGATCTAATTGGACCTGAGCTCAGCCTCTACACTGACTCTTCATTTTATTTTCCCTTTTTTTCCTAATCTCAATGTTTCCATATGTGTCCTCCATGCTATAACCTCTCTTTGTCCTCTCTTTCTCTTGTCCTTTAACATTTGTCCTGTGCTCTGCCTGATCTGCATGCAACCTTGCTCCTGCCCCCCGGCGTCTGTCAGCTATCATATGATCAGGTACCCTCTGCCTTTCTCTCTGCCTCCTCGGTCCCTCCGTGTGTTTCCTGCCAGACACCTTAAGGCCGACTTGTTCCTTTCTGTCTCTCTACTTGTCTACCTCTTGTTTATCAAAGGACATTCCATTTATTTTTTAGATAATGTTATATGTATCCCAGAAGTAATACATGTTATAGTTTTAATGGAACACTCGTTGCCTCTATGTAATGCTGTGTGTGTGTGCTGTGTCAGGTGGAAGATGAGCGGGATGCAGAACTATAACCCGGAACAGATCGTGCTCAACGCTGTGGCCAATCGGACTAATCGGGACCTCAACGTCATGAAGGAGAAGCTCATATTCTCAGGTGCAGATTTGATTCCATTCACATCCTGAAACAGTCTGATGAGTGATCGAATGAGGCTTTAAATGTCCTCAGAGAAGGACTCCGAGTCCATAGACTTGCAATCCAGCATTAGTATACATTAATACTTATATATCACTGTATACATTGTAGTATTGATGTTATTTATTTAAGCAATCATACACGAGAGGCCGTTCTTGAACGTCATTATTGGTACGACAGTACTGCGGCAGGACCGAGGCGCTTAGCTATGATATAATGAGCATATACCATGGCCTGTCGTGAGCTATTGCTTAAACAATATTCACATTATTATTTACATTTTATTCTAACTTAGTTTATCTTTTTTTCAACATTTACCTTTTTTTTCATGATTTCTTATTTTATTTTATAAGCACATTCTTACTTAAACTTGTCATGTTTGTATAAATATTTGCACTTCGTTTTTTATTTATGAATCTTTTATTTTATTCTAAAAGTTATAAAAGTTATTGATTTGGATTCTGATTAAAAGGCCATGCCCAAAAGCTAAATTATCATATTTCCAAAAGATCTTTAATACGTTTATTAAAAAATCAAGATGCATGAATATCATTTGTTGTGACAAAGAAGTATGTGTTTAATAAACCAAGAGTTGTATACATCTTTGGAAAGAACAGACAGAGATACATGTTCTTCACATATAAACTTTGGACTTTGGACAACAGCTGTTTCAACATAACATTACATTTCACTAAGTGCAATCAAACAGCAAGTATCCTGCAACAACAAGAGCTTTTAATAAGCCAAACCAAGGTGTAATAGAAACAGGTTTTCAGTCTCTCCTGATGTCATGGGGAGCCTGTTCCACTGTTTGAAGCAACACTGAAAAAACGGAAATGTGGACTTTAATTAAATGTATTATGGCAACAGATTTCACATTATTGTATTAAAGCTCCCATGTCACGGCCATTTCTACTGATCATAATTCCATTGTTGAGGTCTACTAGAATAGATTTAAATTGTTCAATTTTCCAAACTCACATTGGTTTCTCCTACAGCATCTCTGTATAGTATGTGTATTCACTCTCTGTCCTACACGGCTTGTTGGAGCTCCGCCCCCCGCCCTGTGAGCCCACTGTGCTCTGATTGGTCGGGACGTTGCGAGGCTCGCTGCTTCGAGGAGCGGGGAGGTTTCCGGGTTGGCGATACAGCAAGACAGCGCAAAACTCATCCTGAGCACACACAAACACTCACAGCCAAAGTAAAAACAATAAGTGTGGCTTGATATT